TCAACAAAACAATAAATCTGATTGAACAGCTCAAATACAAATATCGCAGTGCCAGCATGGAGATTCTACCAGTCTCCGGGGACTTTTCGAGAGCTCGAGCTCTGGACTTGGGCGCGTCGAAGTTGCAGATCGATGATCTAATGCTGTTCATCGATGTGGATGTCGTATTCACGGGCTCAGCGCTGAATAGGATACGTTTGAACACGCTACCAGGCCGAAGAATATATTTTCCAATAGTTTTTAGTCAATATGATCCCAAAGTTGTTTACGGCGACGCCAAGAAGCAAGACAAGTTTATCATAAACGAGATCTCTGGACACTGGAGGCAGTATGGTTTCGGAATAGTTTCACTGTACAAGAGTGACTACCTTACTGTGGGCGGTTTGGATCTCTCAATTCAGGGCTGGGGTAAGGAGGACGTGGAATTCTTCGAGAAGGCAGTTAAATCAAGCCTCGATGTCTTCAGGGCGGCGGATAGGCACCTGGTGCATGTATATCACGAGATAGAGTGTAGCAAAGAGCTCTCTAGCCTCCAATTCTCTATGTGCATAGGATCCAAGGTTGATACATATGCCGGAGTTGAAACTTTGGCCAATATGATTTACAGTAACCCAAACATACTACGCTTCGCCAAAGAGAGGAGACAGAAGAGGACGAACCCTGCTGGTTAATGATGGATCTGTCAAATTGGAATTATCAGCTGTTGAATACAATTTTATTAGAAATCGTAGGGAAAATTGTAAAAATATTTTTTTCATTACGCACTCGCCTCGATAGTGACTTCAGTTACGCGAATGTAATATCGAAGGGAATCGAATCATGAACTTTTCGAGTGCCAGAGTATCTCGTTAGTCATAACTGTTTGTGTAAATATGTTTGTCTGAGTCACGCAAGCAAATAAAAAAATCAATACTGATATTTTATTGTATGACAAAATGTATATATCGAAGCTTTAATCGAGAAAACAATTTTCTAAAATTTGATCAAGAAATGTCACGATTTTTGAAGATAATTAATCGAAGAAAATAGATAGAAAACAAATAGATCTGATGATCGATAAAGATCACCAAAATCATTGCAAGCATCCGCGGTGAAAAAATATTCATTTTCATTGGGAGTACAAATTAGTTCGGTCCGTTTCCCTAAAGATAGCTGTTGTGAATGGTTCATAGTGACAGCTGATTTTGGCAGTTTCAGAGAGATTAAACATCTGCTAATAATATTCAGTTTATATCGCTTTGATTTTTACTGAGTTTGAAATGTCGAATTTTGTGTTAACTAAACAGCATTTGCGGAAGGTTTTGATTTTCTGCTTTAATTGGAAGAAAAGTGCGGCTGAAGCCCATCAAATGCTTGTCGAAGTTTATGGCACTGCTCCATTAATAATCAAAACTAATAAGGATATCATGTAGGGAATGGTTTCGACGTTTCAAGGATGGAGGTTTCAGCGTTGAAGAGCCTCGCTCTGGACAGCCAAAAAAATTCGAAGACAAAGAATTAGAGGCATTACTCGAAAAAGATCAGAATCAAATGCAAGAGGAGCTTGCAGAATCATTGGGGATAACTCGAAGCCGTTTCTGTACGATTGAGAGTCATGGGAATGATTCAAAAACAAGGAAATTGGATGTTTATGAACTGAAACCGAGAGATGTTGAAAGGCGATTTTTCACTTGCCAACAGCTGATTCAAAAACAACAGAGAAAACGTTTTTTTGCATTGGAGATGAGAAATGAATATTCTACGACAATCCTAAGAAGAAAAAATACTAAGCCCGGTAATCGTTGCCATCGACCTTAACATCAATACCACGGCCGAACATTCATGGTTCGAAGATCATGCTCTGTATCTGGTGGGATCAAAAGGGTCTTGTTTACTATAAGCTGCTGAAGCCTGGCGATTTCATTACGGGCGATCGATATCGGCTACAATTGATTCGTTTGAGCCGTGCATTGCGAGAAAAACGGCTGAAATACGAGCAAAGACATGATAAAGTTATTCTTCTTCATGATAACGCTCGGCCTCGTGTCGCTAAAGTCATAAAAAAATATTTGGAAACGCTCAAATGGGATGTTTTCCCGTCCCTGCCGTATTCTCCGGACATTGCTCCTTCTGATTACTGATTGTTCCGAAGGATGCAGCATGATTTGGCAAGTCACCGGTTCACTTCTTTCGCAGAAATCGAAAATTGGCTTCAAAATTGGATCGCCTCCAAAGACGAGTCATTTTTTCGAGATGGAATTCGAAATTGCCTGAGAGATGGGAAAATGTAGTAGGCAGCGATGGACAATACTTTAATTGATCTGTTCATTCATTTTCTTTTTAAATAAATGCACGAAAAAACGGACCGAACTAATTTGTACTCGATAATATCTCATAAATTTTGTTTATATTTTATTATACAATTTTTTATATTTTAAATTCATAAAACTTCTTAAAAAAAATCTCAAAATTCTTTAAATTTTGTAAGTTTTCTTCAAAAATTGTAAAATAAAAAATTTTTTAATATTCATAATTCACGTATATAAGAATTTTAGAAAAGATGTAAACTTCTTCAACATTCTTGAAAGTATTTCAGATATTCAAATAACCTGAAAAATTTTTTTTTAAATTAAATATTATATAAAAATTTTGAAGAGTTATATAAAGAATTCTAAGAAAAACTTTCACCAAGGATGGTAATAAAATTGTTATGTTAAAAAAATATGTATACTAATATAATAGTTTTTGTTGTTAGATTATATGTGATGATATTATCTTCTACGCCTGATTTTTCTTTTAGTTTTTTTGAGGCTAAAAACAAACAAATGTCGTTTTTTTTTGCAAATGCAATTGCCAACAGTCTACAGAAATCACGTGTAATGATAAGCATTTATAAAATCGTCAGCCTAGATAGTAAATTTAAGTCTTATAAGTAAATGTGATATTATCGTGCCTTTAAAATATTTCTTCACAATTTCATGTGTACTGCCAAATGTAAACACTATTACAAGTATTTCGAAACATAGATGTAGATATTCCTAAATTGTCGGATTACGCGCTTTGTATTTTATGTTATACACTTACACGTAAAAAGTTCTGTCTGCAATAATTGGAATAATACTCACGCTTTAATGAATAAAATTCTTATGTTAAATAATAATATCATTTTTAATACTCGTTATTCTCTAACTTACATATATAAAAAAATACACCTCGGAAAATCTTTTTTGTCATTATTTTAAATGAAGTATTTAATTATTTGATACATAATATCTATATAAAACGTTATTAAAACAATATCTTTATACTTATTTATTAATTTACACATAATCAATTTATTTATTAAAATATCATAAAAGAATTTAAAATTGATGTCTTCTAACATTTTAAATTTTGAGCATTTTTCAATTTTTAGATATACTTTTATCTTTGCAAATTAAAATATACATAATAAATATTCTTCAAATTTTAATATAATTATTTATTTTGATATGATTTGTAATTTTTTGACGCAATGCTGCAGCTTTCATTTAAAAATATTATTATAAATAATATATAGACAAATAATAAATGATTTTATTAAGATCATAATGTGAATACACAACAAGTAAAAATATTAAAGCATGTAGCGGTCGAAGATAGATCTTTATGAATTTTATATATATATATACTATATATGTACATGCATATATACCACATTTGTAGTTATTATTAAAATTTGCTTGTCAATTTAATTTGTTAC